AAGCCGTGCAGAACCTGATGGCGGCGGTGTCCCACATGAAGACCACGCACGACAAGGTCAACTCTGAGTTGGGCAAGGTCTGCTTGGTGGAGCAGAGGCTTCGCGAGAAGAAGTGGGATGCGACGGGGCCCCTCAAGTTCTTGCAGGATGAGACGACCAAGGTCAAGAACCAGAACGGCAAGCTTCATGACAGCCGGGCAAAGGCATCTACGCTCGTGGCCACCCTGAAGTCTAAGCCTGACACGGACATCGACGCAGATGCCCTGAACGTGAAAGCCAACGAGTACGAGGCTCAGGCGGCTAAGCTCATGGCCGCGTACAAGCTGTACTCCAAGGAGTGCCTCCAGGAGTTCGCCAAGAGCAGCTCGAAGTGAGGCCGAATACATCGGTCGAGGGACGATCCAGGGTGTAAGACTTATGTGTTACGTGCCCTGCTAGCCACAAGCGTGCCACGCTCATGAGTGTCGACCGTGATCACTCGAGATCAGCCCGTTTTCACTGGGGAATCTGAACGCGCTGTGAAAAAACACGCACCCCTGATCCCCCGCAGAACCGTAATACAACAATAAAAACCACACAGCACACACCAGCAACAAACATCACACAACACACGCCAGCTAGCAACGAAAATCACACAGCACACACCAACAACACACATCACACATCACCCCATAGATTGCACCACGCACGCAGATTGCACCACATAGCAACCTCTAATCATACATGGTTGTCGAGCGGAAGCGTTGGGCCCGAGTTTGAAAGAAAAAATCGGGAAACGAAATCGGGAATCCATGTTGTTTAAAGTCGGGAGGGGGGGTCGGGACCCTCTCGCATAGATTGCGCCATTGCACGGCATAGATTGCACCCTGACCCTGCTGCGTGTGTTGCATTCCATGTGGTGAGAGAGAGCGTCGCTGCCCCTCAGTCTTTAGGCCAAAGCCGATGTACCACCGACCGTTCATTGCTGTCGAGGCCGTCCGACTTACTGGCCTGAACGCGCTCTTGTCCTCCCCCACCCCCTCTGCACTCATAGCCATTTGGGCTCGATCGGGGTGCATAGCGGGGTTCGAACTATGCGCACCTCAGTGTGGACGGCTCCGGATGGCCAGAGCACGAGCGAGGCAATCAAGACAGTGATTGCTGATGGTTTCAAGGCAGCGTTGTGCCAGGGAGGTCTCGGCTACGCGTCCGACGACATGAAGATAGGCGTCGATACGGATACGTTGGAGAAGTGGTCTGCCAACATACTCGGACCTCTCATATCTCTCGATGTCCGCGGGGGCTTCTTTGCGCAGCTCGCCGTCGAGTCTGCGCTGAAATCGTTGTCCGAGGAGGATGACTTCAATGCTGGATTCAAGGGCCTTGCCATGACGCGCATGATTAGCGAGAGGAGGTGCATCACCGAGGTTGCCTACAAAATCAGGGTCATGTTGGCCCACGTGAGGATCAAGCGTAAGCAATGGAGTAAGTTGACAAGACCCGCAGACCAGGCCCGAGAACACCCTGCAGGCCTCGTTGCAGTCTATGAGAAGTTCGTCCAGTCGCCCTCGAAGCAACCGAGGGCCAAGTGCGATAATCCCTTCTTGAGTTTCCAAAGCAACGAGCACGACAACGACGAGAACGACCTCGAGGTGGACGACGACCCAGTTCCTATCACTTCGAGCATCGTGATGGGAGACCACGTCTGCTACGCGAAAATGCTCATGAGCGACGGGAGGTGCGTCATCGCCGACAAGTACACGGTGGACGAGATCGGCTTCATCGTTGCCCATTTCCCCAACACCGACGAGACCTACAGCACGGAGATCATGGGGATTCATTTGGAGCCCCATGGGCACTTCATTTTGCGCCCAGCGGTCCCCGCCACTGCTCCGAAGTTGAAGCGCGGCCACCCTGGCGACGGCGACGACGAGGCGGAGGAGGACGAGGCCGAGCTCAAGGACGGCACGCACAAGGGCAAGGACAAGGGGAAGGCCAAGGGCAAGGCCAAAGGGAAGGCCAAGGCTACGGCCAAAGGGAAGGCCAAGGGCAAAGCTAAGGCCAATCCCAAAGCTGCAGCCAAGGCCGCGGCTGAGCCATCTTCGCTCGTCGACGTGATGATGAAGCTACCGCCCGACGCCCACTTCCCTGGTCCAGACCTGGGGGTCAGGAAGTCGTACACCTTGAGCCGTGAGGATGAGATCTCCAAGATATCAGTCATCTTGAATGTCCAGGCTTTCTACATTTCTCACGTGGATCACGTGCCCCCGACCGTCGAGCAGAAGATCGACAACAAGGGTGGAGTCACGATGTCCTTCAGGCACGCCCCTGAGGATAGCTGGGAGATGGCTAAGCTCTTGGCAGGCTGGGCTGTCGAGGGAGGCGCCAGCTAACTGTCGAGGGCGGCGCCAAGGAGGAAAAGGGGAAAGGGATGCAGGAGGGAGGAATGGAGGGACAGTGAGGGAGAGATAAACTATGATAAGAACCTTCGTCGTCGTCGTCGTCGTGGTCGTCGTCGCACGGGGCTCCTGGGGCCTCTCGGGGAGTCCACTGGTCCCCGTCGTCGTCGTCGTCTTCGTCATCGTCGTCGTCTTCGTCGTCGTCATCATCGTCATCATCATCATCATCATCATCATCATCATCATCATCATCATCATCACCACCATCATCATCATCATCATCATCATCATCATTTTTCCAAACTTGAAGATCGTCGTCGTCGTCGTCGTCGCCCCGCTGCTGCTCTGCTCTTCTTCCCCCTGCTGCCGCTCCTCCCTTCCTCTCCCTCTCCTTTCTCCTCCTCGTCCTCGTGCAGTCGCCATTTTGGCTCAAGCTTCGTGCAGTCGCCATTTTGGTTCAATCCATTCCAGCCCAGATGTGTTAAGAATGTGTACAGATATGTATACATACATATATGTATGTATGCGTATATATGTATATATTCTAACACATGTGGGAAGATATGGGGAACTACAATAATTGTTGCCGACTCCATATATTGGAGGCAAGACAATTATTAGAGGTTTACCTCCCATAATTGTAAGACGTCAAGATCTTGTAGTTTCTGATGCTCGGGGCATGCCCCGCTGCGCCGTGCCCACCGGCGGCGCTAACGGCAAGTCCTGTGCGGCCCCCTCGAGAACCGCCAAAGGTGACGGCCACTCCTGCCGGGGAGCTGGAGGTCAAGCAAGGGAGCTCCAGGTGCGACCTCCACCATTGTGCGTCGGAGCCCTCATTTTAGGCAGCGGCCATCAAGACGGCCTGCCAAGGTCGCTTGGGGTCCCAACCATCCGAAGGCTTGCCGTTCTGGACTGCTCGTTCCATATTCGCCCGTAGCTGGTCCCACCGCTCCTCCATGTTGTGGGACACCACAGTGTAGATGGTCCCCCAGCCCCTCGGGAACAGCGTAGCAAGCTGTCGGACCCCTTCCAGGTAGCTGTCCACCGGGCCCGCCTTCGTGAAGCCGAACTTCAAGGCGGCGGTCCGGAACACCAAGGGGACTCGTCCAAGCCAAGCTTCGCCGCCAAGGCGGACAGCTGGAGGGCACTACAATCCTCGTAGTCTCTGGGTGTTCCCCACTTGTCGTCGTAGGCCTCGCACAACGTCCGGACCTTCTCGGATGAGAGCTCCTGGAACGTGGTCCGACGGCCTTGCTCGATGACGGTGGAGAACTCGTGCATAGTGGGCGTGACCACCACTTGCTGCGGCGCCTGTTGCTGGGCAGGCGCCGCCGCCGGCGGTGCCTTCACGGCTGGGGCAGAACCTCCCCAAGCCTTCGGGGTCTGCCCCGCGAGCTCCGCCAGGCGTTGCAAGCCCCTGCGCACATGGCCGCGCTGCAAGGAGGAAAGTGGCCGGACCTCGCCCTCGTCGGTGACAGCGTTGCAGGTGCGCATCGCTGCAACGAGGTCCTCGTCGAACATATCGAAGATCTCCCCCAACGTAACCTCTTCCCTGACGCCCCCGATCTCTTGGACGAAGCCTCTGAACATCGACTCGTCCATGCCGAGGCCCCTAACGGCGGTGGCGATGTCGAGGCTCGGAGCCAGGGGTGATGAGGATCCCCCAAGGGCCGACAAGAGGATCCCTGCCGCGCTTCCCCCGGGGCCACCGTTCCCCAGGACACCAAGTGTTCCCTCGCTTCCTCCGCCAGTCGCGTGGGCGGTAGCCGCCAGCGCCTCGGCGGCCTCCATCGCTGGGGGAACCAGCACCATGCCCACCCTCGATTTGCGATGCTGCAGGGCCCGTGTTTCCCTCCAGCCAAAGGGCGACGGAGGGCAAAGCTGCAGCACCGTTCTGCCTCCCACCGTTTCCCCACGCCCCTGTTACACACGACCTACGGTACAATGCCCAAAACATAGCTCCAAGAGTATTTTTGTACTATTTCTGAGCATGCCCCCCTGTAGAGGGACAGGCCCGACTTGAGGCTGACGGCGATGTTGCTTCACGGAGATGTGGGGAACCAAGTTGCAGGAAACCGCGAACCACACAGCACGGGCCTCGGTTCGCGCGCGCGCGCCCCCGCACCCGCTTCGTGGAGGAGTGTGCCCTGGAAGCTTCGGACCTTGAAGGGTGCCTTATCTCAGGAGGGCGGCTGGATTCCTTATCCAAGGGTTCTTTGTCCTCCTGGTGGATCGAGCGAGCACGACACAGCGAGCTGTAGGGCAGCGCGAGCCGCGTGCTCCCGCGCTGCCGAAGCCCACAGCGCCGCTGCCTCCATCGCTGTTAGCCCGTCTACGGAGCAGCCCGAGGAGGAGGAGGAGGAGGAAGGTGAGGGAGGAGGAGGAGGAGGAGGAGGAGGAGGAGGAGGAGGAGGTGAGGAAGGAGGAGGAGGAGGGAGGAGGAGGAGAGGAGGAGGAGGAGGAGGAGGAGGAGGAGGAGAAGGAAGGAGAGGAGGAGGACGAGGAGGAGGACGAGAATGGGAGGAAGAGGAGAATGAGGAGGAGGAGGAGGAGGAGGAAGGAGGAGGAGGAGGAGGAGGAGGATGAGGAGGAGGAGGAGGGAGGCCCCCCGCAGGGTCCGACCTCGGCGCGCCCGCGCCGGGGCCGCCGCCGCGCCGGGTCGGCCCGAGCTCTGGGGCCCGATTTGCAGGCAGGCGGCCTCCCGGCCTCAGGACTGGGGAGGAGGAGGGAGGGCGGGGATGGGGGGCGCAGGAGTGGGCGAGAGAGGGGCAGGAGGAGAGGGGGGGGGAGGCGGAAGGGGATGAGGGGGAGGAGGAGAGGAGGGGGGGAAGGACGAGAGGAGAGAGGCGCTGGAGCTGCCCTTGGGTGTGCTGCTCGTCCTCGCTTCCAGCGAGCGCAGCGCCAGCGAACCCGTGCCAGGCGCGCGCTGCGCAGGCTCCGAGCAGGCCCAGAAAGACGACAGGACCAGCCCGCAACAGGCGAACCCGCACGTAGGGCTGGAGCTCGGCTCCTCCTCTGGAGGAGGAACAAAAACAGCACAAGCATACAGTCAACCCGCAGAGTAAGGATGCGCGACAAGGATACAAGGCCCTTGGACGCCCATCCCGAAGCGTTTCGAGCGGGGCGCGGCCAACGAAAGTGTCCAAGGATAGACCCAGGAGGCAAGGATGCAAGGGTACCCTTGGGAGGGATGCCTATCCTTACTCTAAGGGTCGACTGTAAACTATCGGCGGTCCGCGCCGATTTGCTGGATCGGCGCTGGACCCGCCTCCGTGGCTTGGTCCGCGCGCCAGGGGCGGCGCTGGAGGCGCCGCCAGGGGGTTCCAAGCGCAGATCCAGGAAATCCGCGCGGAGCGCCGAAAGTTTATATGCCTGTGCAGATGCTTCTCTGCAGAGCCAGCCCGTATCATGAGGGCGCACGGCAAGGACACTGGCCTTCGAAGGCCATGCCGACACTCTGCGGGTCGAAGGGTTCGGTGGCAACTCATGAGAGCCTCCCATACAATTTTGTCGGCTCTTACGAATCGACGCCAATCGACGCTAAATCGGCGCTAATCGACGCTAGATCGACGCTACTCGACCCAGATCGATGCTTATCGATGCTAACCGACGCTAGATCGGCACTATTTCATCCACTCCCGGGCACTATTCGACGCTAGCCGACGCTAAAGACAGACCTCCCTTTAGTAAACCTCCCCTTGGTGAAAACGGCCTGGGAACGAAACCGACGGACCTGGACCCGCAAGACTGACACCCGCGACGCCCTCTCGCGAACCGAAAACGACCAATTCCTTAATCGACGTGTCAGGGTAGGAGGTCGATCCACCTCGATACACAGAGGAAGGGGGAAGGATGCAAGGGTAACCTTGGAAAGTCGCTCCTCCTTTCTATGTGGGATCCTCCGCTCCCCTCTCCGAGGGGTCGCCTGATCGCTGCTCACGCCGTCGATGCGCGCCACCCTGGGGGGGGGGGGGGGCAAGGCTTGCGAGCGGGCACAGGAGAGCGCCGTGCGGGAGCTCCCCCCCCCTCTCCTCCTCCTTTTCCTCTTCCTCCTCTTCCTCCTCTTCCTCCTCTTCCTCCTCTTCCTCCTCTTCCTCCTCTTCCTCCTCTTCCTCCTCTTCCTCCTCTTCCTCCTCTCTCCTCTCTCCTCTCCTCTCTCCTCTCTCCTCTCTCCTCTCTCTCTCTCTCTCTCCCTCTCTCCTCTCTCCTCTCTCCTCTCCTCCTCCTCCTCCTCCTCCTCCTCCTCCTCCTCCTCCTCCTCCTCCTTTGAGGATATGTCGGTCGGGTAGAAGGAATGGGCAAGAGGGGTTTCAGGAAATCGTGCTTGAGAATGGGTTTAGGCGTCTTCGGCAACCTACCAAAAGATGGGCAAGCAGATGTGTTCGAAATCATCCCTCGACTTATTGCTTTGTCCCCGATTTCTAAAGCCTTGTGCTATCGATACGCGCACCACACACATACGAAAAGGATGGGGAGGTTGGAGAATGGAGGTGGAGGGAGGCGGATAACAAAAGGAAGGAGGATGACGGAGGAGGAAATTTGGGGAGGGGACGGAAGTGGGTGAGCAGGCAGGAAGGAAGTACGGCCCAGAGTGTCGCTGACGCCCCCCCCCCCCTCGTTCCTCGCCATGGGTTCGTAGAGTGGGAGGGGGAGTGAGAGGGAGCAGCGCGAGACATTTGAAATTCGAAATCGGTTCAGAATCGACCCAGGCCCCGCCCCGAAGTCCAAGCTCACCAACTTCCCGAGCTGCGTCCAGCTGTTGCGGCGAGGGGGGGCACGAAGGCCGCCAAAGTTTCACGCGACTCACTCTCACTCCCCATCCCACTCAACGACCTCGTCCTAGTTGACCCATGCTTCCTAATAACTTTCTCCTCAGGCCCATCCGCCCGCCCTGCACACTCCTCGCCCCCCTGTCGGGGTCATGCCAAAGCATCCTTGCATCCCTCCTTTGTGTCCTCCTCGTCCTGCCCCTGTCTAATCCATTCTCCTCATTCGCCATATGCCCTCATCAGCTTCCGTATCTTCACTGCCTCCCTCCGTATATCCTCGCCATTCCTCCCCTCTACTCCTCGTGTTCACTACCGCCGTTGCTGCAAGCGAGGCCAGTTGGGCCTCAAATAATCCACGCGCACAGTGCAGCGGCCCCGCGCCGCTGGCCCTTCGCCCCGCGGGGGGTCACCAGAGCTCGCGCAGCTCGCGAGCGGAAACGGGCGGAGGAAGCTGGATTTAGTTGGCCTTGGTCCTCCTCCTCCCCCTCCTACTCCTCCTCCTCCTCCTCCTAATCCTCCCCCTCTTCCTCCTCCTGCTCGAAGTCCAACATCGCGCCCCGTCGGGGCGGCAATCCAGCCTCCTGGAGACGGCCGTCGGTGCCTACGCGAACTGGCCGATCTTGGCCTGCTTCACCGCCGCCTGCAGCAGCGCGTGCGTCGAGCAAACCTCGAAGCCGCACTCCTTCTGCTTGCGCGAAATCTCGGCGCTCACGTCGGAGCGCAAACTCTTCTTGTCGTCGGCGCTCGGGCCGACGATCGCCACGTACTTGGCGAAGCGCTTCAGGAGCACGTACTCGGTGTCGGTGATGGTGGCAAGCTGCAGCAAGTGCGCGGCCTTGTCCACCTCGGCCGACGCCGACCGCTTGAAGAATCCAGCCGTCGTCTCGAGGTCCTTCTTCGCCTGGGCAGGGGGTGGCACGGGGGCTGGATGGCGGCGAGGACGGCGGTCGCCTTCTCCGTCACCCAGCCCAGTCGCCGTCGCAGCCATCCCCCTCCAACTCGTCCGATCGCCATCTCCGCCATAGCAGCCCTCCCCGACCTAGCCCGTCTCGCCATCGCCCGTGCGCCCCTCTACGCGGGACAAGGCCGCTCGCGAGGGGGAGGCGAATGGGGTCCGTGGATCAGGCAGTGGTGGTCGCGCTGAGGGGGCGAATGGCGAACGGCTTCAGATATGGTGCAGCTGTCCTTCGTCGAGGGAAGGCGTCGGCGCATGCCAGCCAGCTGACACGCACCAAGACACTGCCCCGACAAAGGAATGCCGCGCCCGACCCGAAGCCGTCAGCCCGCCCCCTAAGCGCAACCGACGCTGCCTCGTCCGCGATCACCCATCCACCACAAGCCCCGTCCTCCACATCCGACCCCGCCCTGCGTAAAGGGAAATGGGCGATGGCAAGGCGAGCGACGACGGAGAAGGCGACGATGGCAGAAAGGGGGCTTCGGCACGGGAATGGGGAGGGCGACTAAGGCAGCGGGATGGCGGCGGTGGCGCCGTCCCGCGGCCAGAGGAGGGGGGAGAGGAGGAGGGCGACCTCCTCCATCCCCCCTCCTCTTCCTTCTCCTCCTCATCCTCGTCCTCCTTGCCCTCATCATCCCTCCTCCTCCTCCTCCTCCTCCTCCTCATCTTCTGCCTCCTCATCCCTCTCCTCCTCCTCCCCCTTTCCCCAGTTCGCCGCGAGCCTTCTTGACGTCGTCTGTCGCCGCCAAGAAGGCCTTCCCGTCAAACTTGAAGAGGCTCTGCTCGGCCTTCGGCAAATAGCCACCCTTGAAGGTCCCGCTGGGGTCGAAGTCCTTGTCCCAAGCCTCGCCGTTTGTGGTGCCTCTCGCGACGGGCTCGAGCTTGTTGTTGGCATCAGTCAGCACGCGCTCGGCCGCGTTGAAGATCATGTCGGATGCCTCAGTGCACTGAGTGGAGATGTCATCGATGTTGAACTTCACTGCATCGAGCACCAGGGCGCAGCATTCGATCCCGTCCTGCACGCTGCCCAACTCCTCGGCGGCGGCGGTGGCGGTGGGGATGCTGCGCAGCGCGTCAGAGAGTGCAGCCTGGCCCTGGCTCGCCTTCCAGCGGTCACTTGGATTCGCACCAGAATCCACCCACAGCTTGAACTGCTTGCCGAGCTTCGCGACGCTGTCCAACGCCTTCGCAACCTGCAGCGCACCCTTCGGCGGTGAGTCGATCAGCCTCAGGACGCGCGTGATAGACGCCAACGTGCCCGTCGAGATCGCAGTCCAATCCCCACTGGAAAACGTTGCCATCGCCGTGAAGGTGGCAACCGTTGCGGCCTCGAACTGGTGGAACGACTCGGCGTCGAGGGTGAGGCCGCTGATGGCCGCCGCCTTCTCGAGCTCCGTGTTGAAATTGTGCCAGATGATCTGCGCGGCCTCGTTCTCGAAGATGCCGCCCTGCAAGTTGGGGTCGAGGCTGGCGGCCGCCTTGCACGCCGACACCAGCGATGCCATCGCTGCCACCTCGTTGAACTTGGAGATGCGAGTGGCGATGTCCTTCTGCATCCCAGCGATCTTCTGGATGCTACTCGGGGAAACGTTCAGGACGTCCTTGAGAATCTTCGCGGCGAGGTTCAGCTGTTCCAGGTTGACGCAATCACTTTTCAATACACCACTGACCAAGTCAGTCCCAGCGGCCTCCATCAGGTCCTGGATGTGATTGCAGATTTTGGGCGGGGCCTCAAGAAACACAGCGACGTACTTGCCCGCCGCGGTTTCAAAATTCGCAGCCTTCTCATCAAACGTTACCAAGCCCTCTGCATTCAAAATCCGAGCAATCTCAGCCTCAGCATTGACCCACTTCTTATCGTCGGATGCGGTCTTCTTCACATCAGCCCATGCTTTTGCCACGTCGGCATCGTTGTAGATGAAGTCCTTTAGCTGCTTGACCAACTCACGAGTGTCAGCGCTGTCGAGCACCGTGTCGAAGTTCACGAAAGCCGACTGTTCCTGCACGAAAGAGCTGTCAGCCAGGCACACTACGATCCTCGAGCACTCGACGAGATCCATCAGAATATCGGCGTACGCCTCGACCTCGCTGTACGTCTCCATCTCGTGAAGGGCGCACTTGATGACGTAATTGGCGATGATCTTGACCTCGGTAAACGTGGTATCGCAGACCTTGTCGGGGGCAAATGCCATCTCCAGAGGGTGGAGAAGCAAGTCACCGAACATGAACCCATTGAAGAGGAGCGCCTTCTCCTTCGGCGAGGCGTCCACGTGCGCGAGCTCGGGTAACTTCAAGTCGAACTCCGTACATGGGGGGGCCAGGCGGTTGAACTCGAAGTAGTGCATGACGGACGCCTCGGTACGATCCTTCAAGATGAGCGTGACTTGTCGGTGGGAACGTCGCCTCAACAACTTCAGTGTTATCTCCGACGGGAACGGCTTATCACCCATGGCCTGGCCTACAACATCGATCGAGGAATTCAGCGAAGTGTCCTCAACGGCATCGAGGAACTCCTGAGGTGCTGCCAGCGCCCTGGCGTGCTCACACACTTTGATGCGCGATGTCAGCTCGTCGACGTCGTCCACGCGCTGCTTGGCCCTCAAGCGGGTCCTGCACTTGTCCGCTTGAGATTCCTCCCTGCCGAGGTTGTTCTTCGTCATGATCTGGATGGGGTCCAACCTCCACAACCAGTAGACCGTGCTCTTGCAGAGCCTCTTGGGGTGAGTATCGTCGATGTCGTCCGTCAGCCTGAGCTTCTTGTTCTCAACGAGAATATCCATGAACCACAAGCCGTCGACGTCGCCGCTGATGGTGTTGCCGCCCTGCTTGCTGGGCGTAGTCTTGGTGGCCGAGGGAGGGTCCTTGGCTGAGCGGCGATCGGATGGGCAGCCCTCCTGCTCCTCCTCCTCCTCCTGTGCCATCCTCATCCCACCCATGGTTATGCTGAGGGTAGGCGGAAGGAGGATGGCACAGGAGGACTCCTCCTGTGCGTAAGAGGCAGGGCTCAAGCCCACCCCCTTCCCTCTCTCTCCCTCCCCGTCTCCCCCTCATCCCTCCACGCCCCATGGAAGGGGGGGGGGGGCGCGGGTAGGGGGGCGGGGGCGGGGTGGGGAAGGCCCCCGAGCAGGAGTAGGAGGTGCGAGTACGAGTCTCCAGAACAAAAGGATGAGAATTACCAGCACCAAGCCGAGATGGGTGACCCAGAGAGGGGAATGAAGGAGGATGGAGGATCACG